CTGTATACCTACTCCTCACGGGGAGCTTTTCACAGTGGTGTTTCCCGGCTGCGTGGTCCTCGGACCTACCGCTCGCGGAGCAGTTAGTAGGCCTCTTGCGAGGCCTACTATGTGAACACCAGTCCTGACTGCCTTGACGTGATTCAAAAAAGCCTTGATCCACCGAGGGTTCCACGAGACGCTTGATCCATCTGACGTGATTGCTCAATCTTGAGCTGTGAGCGACTTAAGCCTTGATCCTTTATGCCTTGATCCTTTCTGACTTGATCCATTACGCCTTGATTCTGACCAGGGAACTCTGGTCATACCGGTTTGCAATGCGCAGCGTGGCTGCCAGGGCTTGTTGAGCTTGTTCTCCAAAACAGCCTGGCCTGCAGACAGCGACTGTCTGGCCGGGGCCGTGCGTGGAGGTGCTGACGTGTCATGTTTCACATGTTTCCTTGCACGTGGGTTTCACACCTGGTGCGTGTTTGGCAGGCCTTGGGTGGCGCAGCGTGAAAGATGCCTGTGTTCTATCCCCTTTTGCCCGAGTCGAAGGCGAAACAAGTTACACCTGTTCAGGTGCCCAGCGTGTGTGCCACAACCTGAGACCAAAGGCTTTTTTTCAAACAGCAGGGGGACAGAGAGGACGGTGTTGGTCTCTGTCCAACGAAGCCACCACACCGATCCTGGGAAAACGTACCTGCGAGTTTTTTTTGGTAATTCATACCTCCGTGCACTGGCTAGCGCGACTTGGCACAATGAGCAACCTGTAAACCGACTCCTCACGGGGAGCTTTCCACAGTGTGTGTGTTTGTGCCTTGGCGCCTTTGTGTGTTTGTGTGTTTGTGTGTTTAATGCTCCCCAGTTTGAATGGGCATTTTTCTCCAAAGGGCCACCCGCGACCCTCAAACTACCCTAGCCGTAGCCCATGAACAATTGCTCCAACATATTGGGAGTGGGGGCATTTTTGAGGGTCCAGGTGACCTTTTCCAATTGGGCGGAAGTGGGAACTGAAGCTTCCCCACGAAGCAGGGGTTCTTCGGCGCACCGGGAGTTGCCTCAATTCAAGCCTAGTGGATCCAGCAAGGAACGCGGCCATTATGCGTTTTGTATATATATATATATGTATAGACAGGGTTGCTGCGTTTTTGAGGCTGTTCTTGAGGTTGGCAAGGGAAACCAAAAGGAAAGCCAGTGTTTTTTCTGAGGTTCCCCTATTTTGGCCCATGCCCAAAATCCTGGTTACCTAGTGTTGCGGCTTGTTTCCAAATCCATCACAGCGCGCCAGGCGTCTTCGCAAAAGCTGATCATCCGGATTGGGGACCGCCAGTGAGCGCCCGTTGTGTCCTGGAAATCAGACCTCCAGCCTCCAACTGCTGGCCTGCAGAAGGCACTGTTTGTCCTAGCAACTGAATCCCTCAAAGTGATAGAGTTGCCTTGTGGGTGGGAATCCGAGTTTGGTATCAATGAAAGGATATCACAAGAGGGTGGTCGTCTGCAATGGGCAAACAAAATCACACAAAGGGTTATTTTCCACAGCCATCAACTGGTTTATGTGGTTTCTCCATCGCAGACAGGCCACCAGGCGCCTGACCAAAACAGGTCGAACACACTTCAATCAGGACACCAATGTTGAGTATGATGAAAAGTTCTGCCTCTACATGACGTCCAGGCGGCACGGGGAAGAGGGGGTTTTGAGTCAACCTGAGCGCGTGTGTGACTGAGCGAGTGACCGACTCCGTGACTCGACATGAGCAACGCAGGTTGCCTAATCCGCATTTCAGCCCAGAGCTTTCCGCCAAGACCACTGCAGGTGCCCAAGAAGAGTCGCCGAGAGCACCACCCAACCGGTCTAATATCTCTCCATTTACCCCCGTCTTTCAGGCGACGGAAAAGGAGGTATCCCCATGTTTTGCAAGACCTGGGCAAAAAGCGGGAATTGGGGAAGGGGCTCGTGCAGCCAGTTTCAGCCGCGAAAAGCGCCGCAAAAAGCCTCAAACTTCTCGTCTGCTCCAAGGTTATTGACTTCACCGTGACGCTGAGAGGCGACTTTCTACGGGGTTCTGTTGTCAACTGCTGCAGCGATCCTAGGTTTGTCTATGTGAGTCTTCAAGCACATGTGTTTGGGGCTGGAGGCCATGGGCCCAAGGGGCGGGTGGATCTGTAGCTGTGTGTTCCTCAGTTTTCATAGAAGAGAATCGATGGATTGAGTTTCTTTCATATGCGCCGCAGCCAAAAAGGGGTGGTAAAGAGATGTAAAATGACTTACACAAAAGTGTCGGAAGAAAACTGCCTTTCGGGCTGAAAGAATACGATTGTATGTATTCAGTCAGAGGCCAGTTTTTCTAGAAGACCCCGTCGGTGTTCAGATTGATTTGTGGTTTGGATTGGTGGTTCGGGCAGTTGAACCCCTTCTTGCAGAGGGTAATCGGGAACCCTCCTAACCTGCAAGCCACCAATCCAAGCCACAAATAGTTTGAGGAAGGCTGGCGCGTTTCCATGAATCAAAGCCCCACTTGCTTCTGTTTGCTTCTCTTCGTGTAGGTTTGGAGCAGCAATTGCCGGGACCCCAGGTGGGTTACTTCCAAGTGGTCACAGGTGCCATGGTCAAAAACAGATCCCTCTACTTGGGTTTAGCAAGGATGGTCGTCCACCTAATACGGCATAATTGTTATGATGATTCCGATTGAGGAACTAGGGCCATAGGCCTGCAAGGTTTTGATCAGCCACTGGTTCGAGGCCCCCTGAGGTTGCCGGGGTCGGCCGACTTGGTCGTGGAGGTGGTCTTGGGGGGGGGGGAAGCGACAATCAGCCTGGGGTTGCGAATGGAGATGGGATCGCAGGTGGTCTTCGGCACAGCGGGCCCGCCTCAAACAGCGCGCAGGACTCGTGGTAGACCGTGCGCCTGATGCACAGGTGCGGCAGAGCCTGCAGGATGGCATGAGCAAGCGCAACAGTTCACATCGTATTGATGCACCTGCTCACCGTGGTGTTTTAGCCACATCCGTGATGGGTCGTTCTATCGGCCAGCTTTACGCCGGGGTGACTAGCAAAGTTGTTCACATGCCAAACCCAGCACGTTACCTGGACGCGTCGGCCAAGCCCCTATCCTGCACTGGTTGCGAGGTGCTTGGGCAGCCTACATGGGCTCATTGTTTGCTTTCAGACTTGGTTAAATAACGCGGATGCTTTGCTTCGCCTGTCAGTTTTTTTTTTTTTTTTTTTAACCTGCAGTGTCTGTAAATTGTTGCTGCAGCAAGGGAGGGCTGCACAGCCTCGCCCCACCTTGCCTCTGCTCAATCAGGTATGCGTGCTTGTATACTGCCGCGTGTAACCCATTGCTTCATGCCTGTGGGTTTGCCACCTGTGAGCTGAGCGCAGAAATTTAATCAGCGTAGGCGCAATTCAGCATGCACCGTGCTTGGCGCTTGGCCATGGCCATTGAAATTGTCCTTAGGGTTCGCTTCTCAGTCGCCTGCAATGGATCCCACAGCGCTACCTTAGGTTTGTCCGCGAACTAGAAAAGAAGTTTGGACCATGGCTCACATGTTGCGCAGTTCTTAAAATTTCCTTTGGGTGTTTGATGATTTCTTTCTCGGACGGACACACGAGCAATTTACCCAGGCTCGGACGCGTGCTCAACATGGAGCAAAGAGCTTTGGAAGAGATGCTTATTCAACTCAAGGCCTGCCCTTGAGAGTCACTGGCTTTTGATCAGTTTCCTTTTGGCAAGTCAATGCTCTAAGGGAAATATAGGGAGCCCGGTCCCGTCTTGGTCTTGTGTTTGATCTGCTGGAATTATTTGTATTTGCTGCTTGTGATTGCGGTCTTCGAAGGCCCAAGCATTGAGACAGATAGCCAAGATTCGGGTTCCGAAAATTGCCGAGAGAGGCTCTTAGGGAGTTCCCCTGAGTTTTCTCAAACTTTGGATTTTCTCTGGATACCACAATGGTAAGTGGAAGAACACGGCGTGCTTTCACGCAGGAAGACGCTACAACCAACACCAAATCCCTGCACACGCAGCTTGGACGCAGAGAGCTCTCCACCGATTTGATGATTTTCCCGGGAATCCGAGGCTGGGGAAGCAGCTTCTCGTCGGAAGCTGAGCTCTCACTCTTGTTTTGTTGTTCTTCCCACCTGAACCTCAATCCCGAATCCTTATGTCAGGTGGTAGTGGTTTCTCTTCTTGTGGCGTCGGGGTATGGATTACGCTTAGGGGTCCCCCTTTTTTGAACTGCCCAGTTTTCTACACCGGGCCCCTTAGAGTGAGCAGGTCCCTGGCGGTCTACAAAACAACCTTTGGGCGTAGCCAGTTTGCGTCCAAGGACCGGCTCTCAAGCTCCAAGGGCAACCTCCTGGACGGGAACTGTGGTTGTCGGTGGACGTTTCCGAAACGTCCACCAAGGGGTTCCCATGAAGTACCAGCGGAGTGCGGGAACTTGGCTTCCTCAACTCCGGCTGAGCCGCAACTTTGCAGTACCAGTACACCACTTCCGCAGTTCCAGGTAAGTCGTCTCAGCACCAAGCCTTAGTACACTGACTCGCGCGGCGCTCAGAAAGTACCTCTTTTTGCAATCGCGGCCTGCGCTTTGTGCGGGCTTTCGCGGAGGTGTCGCGGAACTCTCGCGAAAACCACCCGCTTTTCAGTGCGTCAAGCGACCAATGAACAGTCCCACAGACACACACGCACACACGCACACACTTGGAGCGCTGGCCAGCGGAGCAGGTTTCAAACCGGACCCACAAAGGAGGCGTTCAGCAGGGTGTCCACTGAAACCAACCTGAAAAGGGTAGACTCAAACGACACATGCCCTTGCTCTGCAGGACGACACCGAGCTCATTGAAGTCCTTGCAAGCACCAAAGCAAAAGCAAAAGAGGCAAGCTCGTTGGACATAGTTGCGTTGCAATCTTGGCTGCCCAACACACCAACAAAAGCGTCCACTTGGTTTGGCAGTTTGGCCATCTGCGTTGAGAGGTGGAAGGCAAGCTGGACGAAGCCCGTCAAAGGCCTGCAAGCTTCCCTGTTGATGTCAGCCAATCGCTCGAGTCAGGACGCTTGAGATCGACGAGAAGCGAGAGCAGTCAGCAGCTCAGGGAATTTTGGCAGAAAGCCACAGCTAGCGCTTCACTTCGGAGCCTCGCGGCGCCAATGCAGCTGAAGACCATTTTCTGCCTCATCCACACACCACAATCGTGGGCGATGCTTGTTTTGGAAACCTCCATGCCAGAGCCGGCCGGAATTCGATGTCGGCGCCTCAGGTTCAGGCCAGTGGCAACTCGAGGAAGCTTGATGCAGCTTGGTTTTCACTCGGTCGGTGCATTCGTCTTAAGGAGCTTGCCACAGAGTCCCTTGTTTCAACACCAAGGCAAAGTTGCAAACAAAACGATGTGACGGAATCTGACCTTTCGCTTTTCCAGTGCGACTTCATTCAGCTCTAGGTATTTCAACATGCCAGAAGCTCAGAGTTCAGATCTCATGGATTCGAAACTTTTTCTGGTGTCGGGCTTCAGGACTGACATGGTGCTGGTCAGCAATCCCATCACATTGCAGCCGCTGCCTCAAAGCCTCGCAGACCTCACATGGAATATCTTTCGCTTAGGGATAGCGCAAGCGCAGCCGGACATGACTCAATGCGATTCAACATGTTCCTTCAAAGTCTCATTGTTGAGGGCTTCCCTCACAAGGCGGCAACCAGAGTTTCAACATGTTGGTTTTCCCTTTTTGGGCTCCCACTTGAGGTGCCAAAAACTTGATCGCTTTGGGCTGTCCAAGCCCAAACCGCTCCGAAGGCCAAGCGGCTGGATGTACAGCTGCTCCTTGGATCAGTTCCTCGAGCAGCCGCTTGGGACGCAAAGGGCTTTGGGTTGGGAATGGCTGAAATGTGTTCGTGTCCTTTTGGCGGAAACGCTGGCCCTGGCGCTTTTTGGGTTGTTGTTGTGCTCCTGTTTTTCTGTTTGTTTTCTATTCCCTTGGATTGACCCGAAGGCTCCACTCGGGATCCTTGGGACCCTTGCAGGTTTGACCACTCGGTGAAAAACTCGGACAAGGTCCAGCCGACGCCAGCGCCACAGCGGGGCTCCGAATCTGCGTGGCAAGGCTTGGACTTCGGCTGACCCTTGGGTGTTCCAAAGACTTGGCATCTCCTGGCTATGGAAGAGAAGGGTCCAGTCTGGAAACCCGCCATTTGCCACCATGTATTCTCAGAACCCCTAACCAGCATTTCTCACTGGCCAGTTGGAACCTGAAAATCTGTTTCGGAGCTGGTCAGATTTTTTGTTTGACCACTGTTCCTTTAAAAGGGTTCTTTGGTGGGTTCCAGGAGGATATTTTTCGCCAGGGATCGAAAAGGTAGACTCGTAGACCCTACTGCACGGTCCTTTGAGCAAGTGAGAAATGGTGGTCAGGGGTAAAGTGAGCCCTGATGCTGCAACACAACATGCTTCGGCTGAGTGTAAAGCGGGTGGACAAGATCATCGACTTCCTCACGTACCAGGTGGGCCCAAGAAGTTCACAGCCCTTTAAATCAGGCTCAACTCAGGTACGGGTCCCTCCCCAAAAATGAGTACGAGCAGCTCTCTTTTGAGCTATCCAAAAGAGCCTTCCCGGCTCTCCGCGTAGGTGTACCGCTACATGAACCGGGGTCTCTTTGAGAGGGACAAGATGATGTTCAGGTGGCTCAGCTGACTTCGAAGCTTGGTGCAAGTTTCAGAGGTTAACTTTGGCTTAATTGGAGAAGCAAATGTTCATTGAAACTCATTTGCTTGAAGGGAAACCACCCCCCTAATTCCTGAGTGACCGTTAGGAGCCATGTTTTGACTGATTGAGTGTCGCTCCTTCCCATGGCTCCCCTTTGCTATTTTTTCGCACGGAGCCAGGATTTGTTGCATCATGCTCTTCCCTACTTACCTCACATGGCAAGCGCCAATTTCGATCCATTTGCCATAGGCCATTCAAGGGAACCACACTTGCAGACCAAAAGGCAAAGGGCGAAGGGTTACGGCGCGCCATCCATTTGCCATAGGCCCATAGGCCTCTCAAGGGAACCGCATTTTGAAGACCAAAATGGCGCTACCCTACGCGGCGGGGCGAAGCTCCTGGCAGGTTGATGGTCGCCTTGAAGATCTCCGTTGTCAACGGCGAGCTGCCCTGCCCTCAGAGACGTCCCATCGCTCGCCGCGCGAAAATAATTTTCGTCGGAAGGACCAGCGATGATGTGATGCTCTTCCTGAAGGTCGGGGCGGTTGCTTTAGATCCCCGGTGGCTTTAAACCTCACCGGTTTGGCCTAAGAGGACAGATGTGTTTAGATTCTCCGTGGTAAGCTTTCCCTGTTTGTCCTAAGGGGAAGGAAGGGAACCCTGAGCTCGGCATGGTTTCCTGGCGTTATCCTTTTTGGCACATTAGTTCCCTTTGCAGCGGCAAGGAAAGGAAAAGGACACCAAAGGATCCTTCCGCAGAGTCTCCTAAAGGATGCCGGCTGGGCCAGACAAAAAGTGCTGATTTGGATCCCGCAAGGCATCCCAGCCTGTTCTGAGCTGCATGGAACTCAATTACACAATTGGAGTCCTTTTGCTAGGTCACGTTGTTGGTGTTGCCTGGTTGATGTGTTGGCCAGTTCGTTCGACTCCTTGGACAGCAAACCTTTTGCTGGGTTAGTTTCAGACTGTTGGCGGTGGATTCTCAGCTAACATATGCGCAAGGCTGACTCATTTTGCGGAGATCATATGGGTATTTGTCAATATCCACCCCCCAAAATTGTGATGTTCCCTTTGGTTTCCGTTGCATCTCGAAATTAGGCTCCTTTTGGACAGTTTCAACAAAGCAAGCCAAGAGGAGACCACCGCAACGTGGTTTTCGCTTTCAACCAACTGATGCATGCTTTCAAACAAGAGTGTGTGGGCTGTTGCGCTGACGTCTCCTCGGGGCCCGCGCCGGTTTGCTCTTGGGGGTCATTGGCTTTGCTGAAGCTTGGCCGCTCGGCAGGCGGGAGGATCGCTGGACAAGAACACGGAGAAGCCGTGCCCATATAGCAAATGGATCAACGAGAAGGCCGGGGGCGTTGGATGTGTTTTGATTGCCACACGCCACCCTGAGTGCCACCAGCCAATAACGCAGATTTGTTCAAAGGCAAGACGACAGGGTGTGGATGTTCTTTTTATTCTGTTGTATAGTCACAGGTCAGGCGACCCTGATTTAGGGATTCTGCGACTTACGGAAATCGACCTTTATTAGAAGATTTGCTGATTTGCTGATTTCAATTGAAGGCCTTGTTCAAGTGGGGAAGTTGCTTATAGGACATACCCAAGGAACGTATGGGACACGTGGAACATCTTTGCTGGTAATGTCCGGGAATATCGGGACCCCCAACCAATCCAAAGCAGCGGCCAGCCCAGGTGTGGCTCAACATCATCCAACTCACCCGCCACGGTTTCGGCGCCTTGGGAAGACAAATTCATTGGCTCCAGCAACCGACCTTTCGACCCGGGGGGTTTCCGATTTGGTTTCAGTTCACGTCAAGATCCCAATATGATCACCTCGATTTCCTTTCTTCGTCCGTTGGGCAACTGAGAATTCCATGCGCTCCAGATCTGTGTGCTCCACTCGGCAGCAACCACCAAAATGGGTTTCGGTTTTCCTTTTCGTTTCCCTTTAGACCTTTCCCCAAAAAAGGGTAGGACACCCAGGTGTTTTCCAGCGAATGAAGTCTGAGGCCGGGAGCAGGTACCCTTGTTCCGTGACCTCACTGAGCTTCTGGGGAGGCGGGAGATGCGTACAGGAAACACGCAGAAGACTGGACATGGACATTCGGGGGCAAAGACGCTAGCGATAGTTAGAGTGGCTGTGTCCTAAAATAGGGGCACCCCCAAACTGGTGGTTTTCCTTCTGCTTTCCTTTAAGACCATCAAGTGCAATTACCCTCACAGAAAGACAAACTCAAATCCCTTGTAAATAGGAAGAGTACATCGATTTAGAAGAGAACGGAGCAGGATCGAAGCCATGTTTTGCGCCAGGAATGACATCGGCTGGCGCAGGTGGTTGGATGAGGGCGAGCCGGACGGCTGCGCGTCTTGTGGATTCATCACCGCCAGCTTCGCGCATCGGGTTCTTGCAGGAGAACTGCCCGATTCCGGAGTATGAAGACCGAACGATAGCTCAGAATACTTCAGGCTAACGTGGAAGCTGAAAGGCCCCCTCCCCTTACTGTAGAAAAAATGGGGGGCTTGGGAACTTCCACGTTAGCCGAGAGGGTAGCTCTTGGCAATTGATTTGAGCCAGCTTCCTGAGGAATCGTCATGCAACGAACTTTGGGTCCTGCCCCCAGACCAAGTGCTCCACAACTCGAACTTGCTTTGACGCAGGCCCCTTCATCCGGCTCGTGCTGGTCCGTTCTTTGCGTGAGGCCTCGGGCCGGCCCGTGGGTCCGGCCGATGGGTTGCTTGCCCAGGACCGGGTCGGCATCGCTTGCGCATGGGCCCAAGAGATGCCATTGCTCGAAAAATGCGCACGAGCCTTGTGCTGATGGGGGGTTGTCCCACTACGGAGGGATTCAGGACACAATTTCGAAGCCGCGAGCGCATGCGACGCATGGAGCCGATGGCCTGTTGATGTTTTCCTAGGCGCAATATATTGATAGACAGCTGGGTGCCAGATTCACAGCCCCAGTGAGCGATACCATCTTCGAGGTCTACCAGGACCGCATGTTCTTATTGCGAGGATGTTCCCTTGAAAAGGAATACTGAAAGGGTGAATTCTCACCCCCTGTTTCTTCACAATGATCACATGGTTTTCCAGGGCTCCTTAAAAGATACATGTTGCGCATTTGAAACATGGCTTTCTCCACCAAAATAAACTGAAGCCACCATGTACAAGGCAATGTTCAGTTTTCTTGCTTTTTTAAATGTAAGGATCCAACTGTTTTCCCGTGGTTACCCATTTTAGTGGTGACCCCCCTTAATTCCCAACCCCATGGCTGCAGTCCATTCGCAGGAGTCGAGCGCTCGGAAGCCAGTGCTCTACCTGCTGTCGGCTCTGCACTCGTTGGCTTCGGCCAGGGAACAGTTGGGTCTGTCCTTTGTTTGGTTTTTATGGGCCACCAAAAGGAAATCGAGCCATCTTAGGGGGTCCCCTAAACAATAAAACATACCGATCTGGGTCTGTCGTTTTTTGAGGGAACCCTTTTGGTGTGTTTTTTCAAGGGAAAGCGAAAGGAAACCAGCCAGTATGAGGGGTTCACCATTCTAAGACTCACCTATTTGTGCCGTTCAAGACCTGACGACGATGGCATGGTCCTGGATGTTTTAGGAAATTCAGACGACCATCAGTGATGGTAAAGGACTTCCAAGCCATTTGAGCCATCCAAACCTGGGCAAGTACATTGTCACAACTTGTGATTGCTTTGGACACCAAGGGGGGAACCTTGTACCCGAAAGGAGGAACCTTCCAGGGCTGGGAACCCTTCTTCAGGATCACAGAAAGGGCATTACGCTAAGGTTTTTCGAGCAATTCCTATCCATTGGATTGAAAGGTTCCCAGAGTCGGAACATCTGATTTTCTGCAGAGGAAGCTGGAGCCAGTTGCGTTGCTCAGAATATTCAAGAGAGGATTTAGAGGCCTTGGGAGCTTTGAACCCCAGGAGTTGGTATTTCGGCTTCCCTTGCTCAATGACCAATAAGGGTCCGCCATGTTGAGAAACTCCCACAACTTGCTGGTGTCAGGGAATGAGTTGGAATGACCCATCCCATGGTGTCCAGGATTCGGATTCGAATCCGAAAACGGTTCATTCCCCAAAGCCAGACTGGGTCCTATGGCAGCAAGAAAACCCCGAAGGACACCAGAAAGCCAAGTCTTGTGGGGTCGTTGGGCAGGGAAGAATAAGACACTCTTGTTCCAAGCTCCACCTGATCAAAGTCGTGTCGTTGCATGAGGCTGGCACCGACCCCACCAACATGATCGATGAACTCGCCCCTCGGTCAAGAAACCTGCGTGGGTTTAAAGGCTCACTTGCCCCCATTTTGCCCCAAACCGACCTGAAAGGACCTTTTGCTTTTTCAATTTGGGCCTCAAAAGGTGACCACCTTTTTCCTGTGTGCTTCGGGCAAGTGGGAACCGACCATTTTAGCCTTTTGTTGTCGCATGTTCAGCAGGCTTGGGGTTTAGGTTGCCACTTGCTGAGTCACTGCGTGGCCAAGGAAAGCCAATTCCACTAAATGGTAGAGTCACAGATGATGGAATCCCACTTCTTCCATTCTTAAGAATTTGTGTCACTTTCCCCAGTTGATTGCAAAGGGACTCTAGCAATACTGGAAATATGTTTTTCCCAGTGGACTTCAGCAAATGGAAGACTTGGTGTGACTGATCTCATTATTTCCGACGAGAATGGTCATGTGCGGTCATGGGGCCGATGGCTCGCGCGGCAGGCCAAGCGGAAAAAGAAGTTCCCAACTGACAAGGCAGCTGCACTGGACGTGGTTAGTCTCACTTGCGGAGTGCATGGACCAACCTTTTTGGGAAGACCGCTTTAGTGGAAAACAAACAGTTGGGACTTGTTTGGACCATCCACTCAGGAAGTGAGTGGTGTCCATTTTGGGTCGGTGCACTTGAGTGCATGGGTCCACTTCAAGCTTTTTGGGTTGGGACCATTTCAGTGGAAAGCAGAAAAATACCGTTGGACTTTTTGGGATCCACTCAGGGGGATTTGAGTGGCCGGAGTCCATTTTTCGTGGGTGCAGGTTGCCTTTGAGAGACCAAAGGGGGAGGGGTCGTCAGGTCTCCATGGGTGAGGGCCAAGAGAAGGTGGCGCGGGAGAAGAACAACGCCGCCTTCATCACCGGGGGATGGCTGGTGTTGCAAAATTGCCACTTGGGGATCAACTACATGAACGAGGTGGAGGAGAGGCAGAAGTGTTTGATGTGTTTTTTTGGTTTTTCCGAGTCTCCCGCTTTGCTTGTTGATGTCTTGCGAAGAGTTGACGAATCGTGTTTTACGTTTCCTGTGAAAATGATGGAGTGTTCTCAATCCTAAGCTACATCACATCCCTAGACAACAGATGTGGAAAAGATACATGTTCGGGCCAAAGCCGAGCTTTCTTAAATCTGAATCCTAAGAAACAGGCAAATAGCAAGTTGAGCTCTTCCCCTGCAATGTGGAACCATCCAGGTGTGTCCAAAGGAGACTCCTCTACACATGGCCTGTTTTTGCTTTTTTTCTTCTGGCGGTTCTTCGGTTCAGAGGAGACCATCATCCGAATGCCCGAGATCCATGCGGATTACCGGCTGTGGGTGACCTGCGAGATCACCTCGCGGTTCCCCATCGGGCTTTTGCATCTCTGCATCAAAGTGACCCAGGAGATCTCCAGAACTCCCCATGTCCAGGTATTAATACACCTCGGTTTATTCATATGGGGGTGCTCCCCTCCAAAAGTAGTCTTGATTCCCCACTCAAACCAGGGATACCCCCATATAAATAAACTGAGGCATATTAGTATGGGGTCAACATTATCCACCTCCCCCTTGCCGGTTGGGTGAGGGAAGAGATAACTTTTCGACATAGAACAAGGGAAGCCAAAAGGAGATTGCTCAATCAAATGGTGTTTACACATTGTGTCAACATCGGGGAACCCAAAGACTGGGTGTCCAGTTGATGTCCCTTTAAACCATCCCTTTTTTCCGCCTTAAAAGTGGAGGGAATCTGACTTTCTGGAGTTTGGGCTGTCCCGCCATTTCGCGTCCAACCACTTAAAATTCATACACAAATGTTTCAGCTCCCTCCCAACATGGAAGCTGACGATCGGAGGGCTGGAAGACTATTTTGGCTCAATTATCCAAAGCCAACTTTTTGACCGTTCGGTATTCTCATGTTGGTCCATTTTCCGTCATGGTCCCAAAGCTTCACCTTGATTTCTGGGTCCTTTGGGCAACTGAGTTTGACAACGTCTTGCTATGGGAACAGCTGGGTCCGTCTATTTTGAGGATATATTCAATTTGTTTGTGTTGTTAAACCCGAAGCCATTGGGAGACACAAGTCGGCAAAGCCGAACCCTGAGGAGCCCCCTGCTGGTTTGAAGGCATCGCTTCACAGGACCTACACCACCATGGTGACTCAGGAGACCTTGGACAAGGTGGGGCTGGCAGCAAAAGGAGGCCAAAGGGAAGCACATCTCGAAATGCGCCACAAGGGAACCAAAGCGAAGCAAAGGGAAACCAAAGGGAACGAATCGTACTAGGCTGGGGCTCGTTGATTTTGCGAAAGGTGGATCATGAGAAGTGGCGCGCGCTGCTGTACGCCATCGCATTCCTGCATAGCATCGTGCAAGAGCGGCGGAAGTTCGGAGCCATTGGGTGGTGCGTGCCCTATGAGTTTAACAACTCGGATCTCGATGCCTTTTGGCTGGTATTCGGCTGGATTGTACCTTTCAAACCCATTTAGGGGGTCCCCTCCGTCCAGTCAGGTGAGGAAGTCTAAGCTTGAAATTTGTTGGATGGATTCTTCCCGAAACAGCAAAGAGTTATGACATTTTGGCAGAGAAATGCCGATGGTTCGATCCAGGCCTCGCTGCTGTTCCTGGAGAAGCATTTGTCGTCCACCATCATGGTGGGCATCCCCCTGTCCTGGAACACAATTCAGTCCCTCGCTAAGCCAAGGGATCACCTAAGACCAACCAGTTTAAACTGAGAACCCCCTGCTGGTCGCTCAAGAGGGTGGTAATGGGAACGTTTCCGCGGAGAGACCTTGTGCTTCGATAGGTGTCGCAAGGAAGCCAAAGGCAACATATTGTTTGTTGAAAGGCAAAGTGGTCACCTGGTTGTTCTTACGCACTTTTGCTGTTCGTTGGGAAGCAACATTGCCTTTTTTCTGCTTGTGTGTTTCTCGGTAGATGGACACCTTGTGTGAAAAGAAAGCCAATTTTGGAAACAAACCAAGAAGAGAGCGGATGGCCAGGAGGCTTGCAATCAGCCTTTTTTGCGCCTGGCATGGATGGCTGCAATTTCACCGATTCTGCAAGGATTTGCCTGGTAACCCCTTAGTACCGCCCAACATTCCGCAAGTATTTCTTCGTTATTCTCCAGTGTTTTCCTAGTATTCCTCTAATATTGCACTAGTATTCCCGTAGTGTTTTGGGTATACCTCAGTATTCTCTCAGCACTCCCCTCGTATTCCCTCAATATTCCCCAAGATCTTCCTGAGTGATTCCCTGGCATTTTCCGAGTATTCACCCGTAGCATTCCGAAAGAAATTCCCTCGTAGTCCCTATCATCCCCTCTCGTTGCTGCCGTAGTATTCCTTTGATGCTCTCTTGCTTTGCCTCTAGCATTCCCACTAGTATTTTCCTAGTATTCACCCTTAGTACGTCCCCTTGATATTCCCCTAGCATTCTTCTTAGTATTCCCGTAGAATTCCCCATTCCTTCAGTTTTCCCTAACCCCTACAATTCCCACACAACGTCCCTAGTATTTTCCTAGCATTCCAGCATTCCTTTAACATTATCTTACCTCTAGTGTTCCCTCAGCGCTCCCCCCGTATTCCCTTAACGTTCCCGAAGTACTTGCTCAGTATTCCCCGAGTATTCTCCTGCATTCACCCCTAGTATTTGCCCAGTATTGCTTGAGATGCAGGAGTGCAAAGACCTCGACAAAACCCAAACAAGCAAAACAAGCAATCCCCACAACAAGACCTTGGAGTTATTGGTCATTTCCCAGGCCCTGGTGGGTATGTTTCTGTGATGTGTTTTGTTTTGTCCATGTGCACCGATGTGTTCCCTAGTGATATCCACACTTTGTGGATATGCTAAAACGCAGGCCCCATTGCGGGCCCTGAAACATCCGCTTGCCTGTGAGGTATATGGTCGCAGAGGTGCAGTATGGGGGTCGCATCACCGACGACTTAGATCGGGAGCTCTTCATCACATATGCGGCCAAATGGCTGTGCGACGACATGTTCAGGCCGGCGGGTGCCAAATTGATTCAAAGAATCGCCTGTCTTGTTTCGACTTGGTACATGTTGGTACCCCTTTGGGAAAAAAGAGAATCCAAAGAGTAATCGGCAAAATTCGGCAGTTGTGGGGGTGCCCTATTTTGAGGCACACCCAGATCCTGGTTCGCTGTGAAAGGGGCACCAGAAGGAGACTGTTTGAACCAGAGGGTTGAACTTTACTTTCATGCAGGGGGTGAATTAGAGTTTAAGTCTCTGGTTTTAACCAGGTAGGTTCAAACTCGGGAGTGTTGTTTCAGTATAGACTATGACCCGTTTAGGCCTTCATTCAACTTTAACTCTTACAGCGCTGAGTACGGCTACAAGATCCCAGATGGACTGGAGATGTCGGTGTACCGCGACCACATCGAAGCTCGGAGAGTTTTCCGAGCAATCTGTTGGATCTCTTGCACGGGGAAATGATTACGCTCTTCAGTTTCAGGGAAACTCACTGACGCAAGCAGCCAGAAGCCACTCATTTCCGCAAGTGGAAGATCCCCCCCAATTTGTTTAACATAGATTTAGAATGATACTGCCTTAGTTGTCGGGGGTTCTTGACCCAGTGATGTCAGTTCTGTGAGGAGAACATCCCTCCAGTGGATTCGCCGTTGATATTCGGGCTGCACCCGAACGCAGACATCACCTACCGCCTCAAAGAGGCCCCTTGCGGGACAAGGCTTTTCAGATGGCTTTTCATAGGTGTCCTTTTTAGGTGAGCCTGGCTCAAAATAGATGGCACTGGTTTAGATGGGTTTTGTTCCATTTACCAGGGCCATCTATTTTTCCAAAAGGCCACCTATGCTTGTTTCCTTACCGCTCACCGTCTGCAGTATTCAGGAAACCCCCTTTCGATGAAATAGTGATGGCCCCGGATGGCCCCAGCAATGGTAAAAGTTCCATACCCCCCTTGCGATGAAATAGTCATGGGGACGGCCCCTTTGACAGATTATTTTTCATGAGGCTTCGGAGATGCTGACGACCATCATCGAGACCCAACCTAAAGATGGCAATGCCTCCGCGGCCCTGCTGCAAAATGCCGAGCGGCATGGGCTTTAACCTCTTGCCGCGTAATGGAACCGAGGGAAAGCAGACCTGAGGGATCGCCAAGGATTTGCCCCCAAGAAAAGGAAAAGGAAAGACCACCACGTTTGGGGTCGCATGTTTTTGCAGCATTTGACGGTCGAAGATGCCAGCCCCCTTGCCATGGGGGGAAGAGGAGACGAACCTTGGAGGTTCTTCAGACTTGAGCCCCATTGATGGGGCGTGCCCATATGCCTCACGGAGCCTCGACATGGGCGTGGCTCTGAGAAATAAAAGCAGGAACACAGCATTCTCAAACACAGACACAAGAGGAATCCTTTGTGTGAACGGGCTACATGGCTTTGCTTGTGCCCACATTCAGCTGGGAGGTGGAGAGAATAAGCCTGAAATCGTGCCTTCAAATTCTTCAAAACCCATGCTCCATTTTCCCCAATCGCATTTCGAGGTGAAGTTCATAGACTATAGAAAAAGCTGTTTGGGTTGCATTTAATAATATATATATATATATATACATAAGTCTTACTTTCAAATCCCATGTTCCATTTTCCCCAACCGCATTTCGAGGTGAAGTTCATAGACTATAGAACAAGCTGTTTGGGTTGCATCTAATTTATAACATCCATACATATATCTATATTTATGTATAGGTTATATACATATGTAAATATACACATACAGATACCCATTTCTATATACATATATTTCTGCCATTCCTTGGGAAGTGTTTTGAAAGGTGGGGAAGTCCATGGACGAGAAGGTCCGGGAAGAAGCCTTGGAGCTCCTGGAGAAGGTGCCTCCGGAGTTGGTGGAGGAGGTCTTCCGTGCGCAGGTCCAAAAGCTCCGTGGCCCCCCGCGCATCGACGACCCCCGGTGCGGTCGGATGGAGTACCCGGGTGTCTTTAAAGGGAATCCAAAGGGAAAGCACGACTTGTCCCGTGTTCTGAGACATACTCGTATCGCCTTATAGGTCACTGGGGGTGCCCATGTTTTTGTTTCCCTTGTTTTTTTTCCTGAAGGGGGGTCATTGCTTTTAAACAGGTTGTGGGTATGAGTCCAAAGAAAACCAAAAATGCGGACCGCAGGATTCTTTTAGCGGGCCCATGTTTCCGTTTACGCGGGCAACCCGTTTTGACAACGGGATACCCCATTGTTGACCCACAGCCGGATTTTGTGGAGTTGATCTCACACGTCCATTATATAAAGTCACCCAAAAAGTGAGACAAACAAAACTAAACAGTGGAAATATGGGGACTCAGGGTTCTCAAATGATGTTCGGGATGAGAGGTTCCCTTTAAACCATAAATTCAGTGGGTCAGTGGGTACGTGTCAAAATAAGGATTCGGACCACCCAAAATGGATTTCCCTTTCAACCAACCTGAAAGGGTACCCCGAAAAACATACACTCTCAACTGGGTTCTGCTATAATAGTGATTGAGCGTTTCGAGGGTTCTCAGTTTCGGAGATAGGATCCTTTTTGGATCACCATTTATAAACCATAAGTTTGAAGGTTGTCACTTCACTAAACACAGTTTAAGATTGAGTTGCCCTCTTTTTATGCACGTGTATGTATGTGTATATATATATATATACACATTTAATATATGACATGACACATGTGTTCCCAGCACTTGACTTGTTTTTTCACACATTTGCTTCCAGGAAGCTAGCATTTCCTTGTAAGGAACGAGGCTTCAAAGCGCCGTTGAACATCTTCTTGTTCCAAGAGTTGCAACGGCTGCAAAACATCATCTTCATTGTGCGCTCGAATTTGGACAACCTCGTCTTGGCGATCGAGGGCGTGGTTGTAATGACGGTCGACTTGCTGGAAGACTCCAACTGCGTTTTCGCAGCTTGCTTTGATAAACCGGTCCGCAAGAGGGTGTCTCAAATGACTTTGGGGATGGTTTTTCCTTTGAATCACCATTGAGATTGCTAAAAATTGAGACCGTCACAGAACGCGCATTGTGCCTGCGAGGCAGGATGGACGGTCAGATCACTGTACTGTAACACGGTGAAACAATTGATTATTGCTCTCAGTTCATTTGTCATTGTCGGGTTACCCTCGGTCGGTGGCTTGGGTTGAGAGTTTGGGATAGGTCATAGCAGTAATCTCCAAACCACCAATCCAAATCACAGATTGCTCCCCTATGAGGGGTCCCCCCACAGGAATTTCCTCTAGAAACGGACTCCAAACCAGGCTCAAAACCACCATGTTGGAGGGAAGACTGAGGATGGGCGGGTGCCAAAGAAGTGGACACATGACGCATCTGGAGCTGAAATCTCGTGGCTGCTGCCCACCATCGGTGGCTGGTGTACTGGCTTGACCGACAGGCGGGGTCTGGGGTTGAACATGTGTTGCCTGCCTGCTTAACAAAAACACAGAACATACGGGTGGCTCGTCTTTTTTGGATGGTTTTGGTGGTTTTTAAAGGAAGAGGAAACGAAACCATTTTGAGGGGTTCCGCTAAACGAACACACCATGTTGAACAGCCCCGCGGTTTGGGACGCTTTGGGTTTTCCTTCTGAACCCCGGGAACCAACTTCAATGCCTCACTTTGCCTCGCTTCAATGTTTGGACCATGTCACCCCGAGAGTTTTGCTTGCGGCTGCGTTACCAGGTACACTCAGCTGAACACCTGGCTTGAGTATGGCCGGAAGGACATCCGCCAAGAGGGAACTCCTCCGAACAGTTGGGCTCGAAACGGCTCGAGGAACAGCACCTCGTTCTTTTTGTTTGCCTAGAGAAAAAGCGCGACTTCCAACTCGTGGCAGGAGATGAAGTCGTATTGGATCACGGGGTTCACGAACGCGCAGGGCTTCCTTACCGGCATCCGACAAGAGGTGGAGCTTGCACTTGCGCGTTGAAGTTGAGCCCCTGGAAATTAACATGGAACTTCTGGAACCCAAAGCAAAGTATCCCCGCAAATGCAGGTTCTTGGAGTTCCATGTCAATCTGCGGGGGGTAAAGGTTGAAAAGGGGGATGCTGACGGCCGGCCTTTCGTTCTTTACATGTTGGGTGGGCCATTCAAAGACCAGGTTTTGATTGCTATGCATTTGCCAAAGGGCCATTGTGCAACGTGCCCGATGTTGCCCTTCTAAAGCGCACGTTCGGCAAGGTGACCCGGCTTCACAAGAAGGATCAATGGGCCTTGGACGATGTCGTGACCCACACCGAGGCACTCCTTACTTTCAACTTTTTCTTTGTGTGGGTCAGAAGCGAATTGAGTGGATTCTTTGCCATTCGCTTTCACCCAACGTTAAGTTCGGTTTCCAGTGCTCGGGACGCGTCCCAGTGAGGTTTTAACTTTGGAGTCACCAGATCGTGTGCGTGAGCTGCCGGATGAAGGCAGGGACAAGCCCAGCGCCTCATCGGAATCCTCCAAGGGTTCTGATTCTTCATGGGTCAAACCTGAGTCCGCAAGTGGGGAGGATCAGAAATCACCCCCGGTGAAACCAGCCGTTCCTCAACAAGGGTCTCAGTACGTTCCGCCAAGGTTCCGCCAACAAGTGGGTGACCCCAAAAACGGATCTCGGTTTTCCTAGTGTTCAACTCAAATCCAAGCTGAAGGTGCCGAGCAGTAACGCAAAACGGCTCCACCCATCCCGCAGGTCAGAACATCCACGGGCTGTCCATCGAAGGCGCCAGGCGGGCAAGGGAACGCATGTTTGAGGGGTCTTGATTCTTGGGATTGGAGTTCAAGGAAAACTGGGTGTGTATGTGTGAGTGTGTTTTGTTTGGGCATGTTTCTCTTTTACCCGAGGTGGAATCGCTCGGAAGGCAAACTCGAGGAGAGCGAGCCCAAGAAGCTGCAAGCCCAGCGAGTCGATGCCGCAGGTTCTCAAAGTGAAGAACCATTTATCAATGTTCCCGTGTCAATCAGAGATTTCGGTTTGTCTTTGTTTGGTCCCCCCCCCAAACAACCAAACACATGAAGATCTATTTACTTTGCCCCCCCCCAAATAAATGTATGTTTTTCTTTGGTTGCCCTGTTGTCGCCACCAAAAAAAACGGTAGCCTCCATAAAGGACCTACACCCCACGTCTGCCCAGGCTGCAGCTTGCAATGCCTGTCATCCACGCGCCAAGCTGAGCATTGCAGTTTTCCGGTTTCGCGCGCCTTGCGCAAGGCCCTGCGCCTGGCTCCAGTTTTCGGTTGCTGGCGGTACCTTGTAGTTGAACAACCCACCTTTTCATGGGGTGTGTTCCTTTTGACTTCCTCTTCGGGTATGGTGGCATGAGTTTTGTACTTGCAATTACTTTGGCTCAAGGCTGAGAAAAGGGACATTTGCACTTGCTGGCGCCATAGTACTGGACATTCTTTATTCACTTGAATCCTGGTATTTCAACTGGTTATCAGCCGTATACAGCTCACGGACTTTGACAACGAGCTGCAGTATTATTGTACTTCACTTGTTTGGCGCGATAGCGGATCTTGCCCTCGTTGGCACTTCGAGTACTACGTGACCGAGCTTGCAATATTTATTCTTGACTTGGCGAGCGCTTGGGGTTTACTTGAGAGAGGCGAGGTTTGGCTGGTGCGGGTTCCTTTGTTTATGTCAGACGTGGAGGAAGGACCTGCACCAGCCAAACGAAGTCGTGGTATCCGTGGCGGTGCAAGTGCTCGGAGGAGGAGGAACGAATGCCTGTATTGAGCATCAGCTACAGGTTGGACGAGATCCTTATCCGGCATAGCTTTGGGAGGTAGGCCGGTGCACACTCCGCAGGCAGTCTCAAAAGGAGCAGGGGGAGCAGGAAGAGCGTTGTTGGCTTGCGCCCTGGCACCACTGATCCTTTTGCGGGCGGGCATTCTTGGAGGCAAGTAAGGCCCAGCTCCAAAGCCTTTAATCAGCAGCTCCCAAGCAAGCTGTTCATTCCCAAGCCGGCACCTGCTCAGCTTGACACTTGAGGCGATCCTTGCACTTGACTGGCAATCCTGGCTGCACCAACGAACTGACCGGAGCTGCAGCTGTCAACGACAGGGAGGATTTGTGCGTGGTCTCTTTCGATTACCATCAGGTTGCGGATATTGATCGGCCGAATTGATTGCGGGTTGGATACGCTCCGGGGAGCGGACAATTCATTGCCAGTGACCAACATTGAAGCGGTTGAGCGTCTTCAGGCGAGCTTCCCTTTTGTTTACACGGCAGTCCTGAGCTTTATTCCTCCGCATCGTCGCACAGGGCGTATTGCAGATCACAGGGCGTATTGCAGATCGTACCAATTGCATTGCTGCCTTATCAGCTCTGACTCACAACAGGCGGGACTTGCTCGTCAATCAGGCCATCTTTACTGCTGAGCGTGACGGACCAGAAGGCAAGTTGGCCAATGTTCGTACTGTGTTTCCCAACGCCAAGGGATTGAGTCACTTGGACGACGATCGGTCGGTGTTGCAAGAATTTTCATAAGGGTGGCCGTCGGGCGTTTCCCATCGGTATTGCAGTGCCTCGCAAACCGCGGCGCCGCGGCGCGGGTCCTGTCAGTATTTCTCGAACGTTGAACAGGCAGTGACTCACGTGACGGCATTGCTTTGCCATTATTTGACGTGTGAGACGAGGGAGGTTCCGACATTCTCTGCATCTGGCCGGCAGTATAAAGGGCAGAAATCTGCGATCGAGCTGCTCTATATAGTGGTTTGCATGTCACCCCTTTGAAGTTCATCATGCTTTTGCATCCAGCCCAGTGTTTTGCCATCCACCGCCTGCGTACCTTGTAGAGATGTCACAGGACACCAGCTTAGAGCTTAGCACGTCCAATTCCAGCATGGTTCTAAGGGGTGTTCACGCCGCGCCTGGTGCAATGAGAACGTCATCTTCAAGGTCAAGAAGTGAAAGTTCAGGCCCCTATGATCAAGCCAATTCATTGCAGTCGACATTGCCGGGTATCAACCCAATCACCGGTGTTGGAAGTGAAACTCCAAGAACATCCACACAGTTGACTCGGAACGAGTTTCGGGGCGGAGATCAGTACAGCCAATCCAACATGCAACAAAATGTTGTCCATGTGCAAATCGGGGTAGGCCCATGAGGGCTTTTGAAACTGGATGGATTTTCCAGTTCACCCTCGTGAGGTAGCGGAGTTGCTTGCAAATGCCAGGGCATCAGTTGAGCATGCTAGCCAGCAATCCCAAAGAGCAGGTATTCTGGCTTGCAAATCGGAAATCAACAGTTGCATCAACGACATGCTGACGTGTGCCAACAGTTGGACTTGACTAAAGAGCAGAAAGTCAGTGTCAAGCTTGAAATTGGCCCTACTTGTGACTGCCGAGGTTGTGAAGCTGCAACGTACAATCATTCAGCAGAGCGTGTGCAACGTTTTCAAGATGCCTTCGCACATGAGCGACCTCCCAAGGTTGGTCCTCCCGTTATCAAACCTGTTGAATACGCAGACGTCGACAAAGCTTGTCATAGCATTGTAGACACGCATCACCTGCCAGAAGCGTCAGTCGAGATTTGTTCTCCTGACGTTCCACAACTTATGCCTTGCACTCTTTCACGTATGACCCTCTTGATAACTTGCGCATGTGTTGTTGGGTAGATGCAATTTTTGGTGACTGTGTGAGCACCATGAGGAGCTGCTCGGGTTACTTCATTGCTCTTGAAGCCGAAACTCTTTCTTTCCTTGTGTGGGTAAGCCAAAAGCAGACTGTCACCGAAACAGTGGCTTTGGCCACGCTCTTGGATATTGCTTGCAGCCATCTCTTCGGCCGGGAGATTCTTGTGAAGTGTTGGGAAGACAATCAAGCTGTCCTTGCGATTGTATCTAAAGGATACTCTTCCAAATTGCGGCACTTGCAGAAGACTCATAAGATCAACGTCGGGTCATTGTCAGAAGCATTTGAAAAAAACAATTACGAACTAGATTACATTGTGACAACTGAGCATGTTCCACAGTCAAAGCATGAATGAACACCTCACCTGCCCCTGCCGTGTTTGGCTGCTTCGAACCATGAAGTGAGCACAATTTGAGTTTCACATGAAGTGAACTGCATGACAATGCTTCCCTTTCACCAGGTCGCTGCTAGTCACCCTTTTGTTGTCAGGTTGAAGCTTTTGTGTCTTGGCTCGCATTGCAGCAAAAGAACTTGTGCGTGATTGAATTCAGGGGGGGCATTCATGCCCTAAAACCGGTGTCCTTGTGGGATGACCGGGCATGCCGCACTTGAGCGTTCGCCAATTCCTTGACAAGCATAATTGATTGCAAAGTGTGCCAATAGGCTTTGAATATCTTAGCCTAAATAAATATGTGCAGCATTTGACGGTGAGCTTTGTTGTTCCCGCTTGAGTGCCGGGCGTCGTCATGGCTTTTGTGTGCCTGCATCTCAAATTCTTGACATGCTGTTTTGCCGCTCATGCGCATCAGCCAGCAACTTGAGATGGTGCCTTTTGCCTGGACCCTTAATTTAATCCATGTCATTAATTCGAGAATTGTCTTTTGGTCGCCTTTCTAAGTTGATGAAATCATTCATTCTAGCAAGGGATGAAATCACCCTTCGCTGCGACCCGTTCTGCACCAGCCCAAACCGTAAGACGGGGGAGTTGAACAATCCCACCTTTTCATGGGGTGTGTTCATTTTGACTTCCTCTTCAGGTATGGTGCATTACTTTGGCTCAAGGCTGAGAAAAGGGACGTTTGCATTTGCTGGCGCCATGGTACTGGACTTCTTGATTCACTTGAATCCTGGTATTTCGGCTCTTTTAATCCCTTTCCCCCAAAGGCTTCTTAAAGATACATTTTGCCAATTTGAACATTGCTTTTCCACCAAAATACAGGGAAACCACAATTCACAAGGCAATGATCACGTGTATAATGTAAGGATCCCTGTTAAAGGTAGAGCACATTTGGTCTAGGCCGATTCTAAGCCAAGAGTAAAGCAGCGATGTTGCCCAATCGAGCTTTGCAGTCATTCCTTGTTTCCCCTTTCTCTTCTCTTGTCTGTGTCTTCTGCGGACAGTGGCGTGGGTCCTGCCAAAGGAAACAAAAAGGTTCAACGCGAGGGGTCAAGATTCCCCTGGAATTGCCCGAGCCAAACGGTAGTTTACTGAGAAGCTCTCGATTGACTTTAGGGAGCCTATTTCAAGCCCAGGTGACAGCAGTGGAGGTCAAGATGTGGAAGGTGATGAACCCGTGGTTAGCTCAACCTTGCGCGTCTGAGCTTCCTTGGGAAACAAGACCTGCGCGACAGAAGCGCGCATGAGGGCACCCGGCCCATTTTCTCCGCTGAATGCACGGAACTTGGAGAGGGTGCCAAGCATGAGCAAATGACGAACGAATTTGTGTAGGCTGCTGTTTACAAGTACCCTCGGCGGAACGACAGGCTCGTGTGTTTTCCCCCTTCATGGCAGCAAGCTGTTTTAACATGATTCGCGGAAGGTACTTGATTTTCCGATTGCTGCTTCGGTCTGGCGAGCGAGAGCCTCAGCGGTCTTTCATGATGACATCGATTTTCCCCCGGCAAAGCCGTTCCAACCACCCTTTCAGCTTGTTTCGAAGGGCGCATGTTTGAAATGTCTGAAATCCGGTGCTATTTAGGCACCATCCGCATCATTGGAAGCTTCGAGGAGTTTGCTTGGTCGCGCAGGCACAACCTTCTCATGCCGAACTCATTGAATCAGAGCGTCCTTGTGACAGGTGGATTGAATACATGATCGAAATTAGCGAAGCTATAACTCAAGATGCATGATTCGCGCTTATTTTCAAAACCGACTAAAGTCTGGGAAGTACATCGAATTGATGACATGTTGGTCGGTTGAGCATTGCAAAATGGCATCATGGTCAAGTTGTTGGAATAGAAAATAGTCTCTCCTCTCGTATTGATCGAAAGCATCCTGAGCTTGCATCCAGCACTGATGCTATAGCTTTATCGGAGTGTAAAGTGTTGATGTTTGCATGGGGTTAAGTGGCATGAGAGGTTTCATAGCCATTTGGCTCATAACCATTCTGAATAAACATGATATATATGTGATGGAATGGGAGGTAGATATTGTAATGCTATTATAATATGCCCAAAGGAACAGATTTCGCCATGTAGTTTTCTTGGAAATCGAATGTTACGACTGCAATTATACGAATTTTACGAAATATGGTATATATTATTATATGAAATTTACAATAATTATGTTAATAATATTTATTATATTTTTGGATTAGTTTATAATTATATATATATTATGTATTTCTAGATTTTATGAATTTAATTTGAATTAATTAAATGAAACTATTTTACACAATTATGATGTTTTATAAAATGATTTTTATATAACAAAATTATTAAATATATTTTTTATAGATATAATATATGTTTTTATTTCATATCTTTAAAATATATATATATAATTATATATATTTATATATATATTTATTTTGATATATAAATTATTCTTGGGAATAATGGATTTTTTGATATGAAATTTAGATAATGCAATTATACTTAAATTTCATAAATTATAATACATATATATATATATATTTATTTATTGTTTTTAACATATTGTAATACTAAATATTATAAATATAATTTCTAATTAAATTTAAGTATTATTTATATAATAAAAATTAATTTGTATCTTATAATTTTGGGATGATTTTGAGACTTTTTATATATTATAGAATTGTTATAATAAATATATGGTAACAATAAAAAACCAAAAAAAACAAAATCATTCGTCCCAATCGCAATACATTAGCCCAAAAAATATTTACTCTATAAAACAAAGCCGTGAAACTTGCTCGTCGCACTTGCGCGCGTTTTCCCGGACCGCTTTTCCGAAAAATCCCGGATATTTCGGAAAATTGGTCTGGACTGCCCCTGGAAGATGTAACTGCTTCATATTTCCTATGGACCGCTTGCCCAAATCTGTCCGGGCTACCCCGGCATATGTGCGGAAGACATAGTGGCTTCATTTTTTGTAGGGACCAATGTCCCGAAATATTCCAGATATTTCGGGAAAGCGGTCCGGGAATCGCAGCCACCCACCATTTTCTCGAAATGTTCCGAATATTTCGGGGGCCATCTTCCCGAAATATTCCAAATATTTCGGGAAATGCTTTCGGGAAATGCTATCGTCGAAGTATCCGGAATATTTCGGAAAAATGGTCTGGAGTGCGACTAGCGAAATATCCGGGATATTTTGGAAAAATGGTCCGGGCTTTGAACGAAGCCGTTGTGTCTTCCAGATAAAGAGTCGGGGCATATATCTGCCTGTCCGTAACAATTTTGCCTGAAATCTTGGCCCATCTTCCGAGAGTTTGGCGATGCGAGAAGCTGTGAGCCGCGGCCGATTGTTGTGGCCAGTGGTGTTTTCCCAACGCTTTGGGCGAAATCAGTTCGGCTTTGCTTGCACCCTGCAGGATGTTTTCTGGTCGATCGCGTTTTCGCTTGCGCTTGCAACAACTGCGTGTGTGGATGGATCTTTTGAGGCCAACAGCCCGCGGATCCGTGCTCACCTTGCTCGGGTGACCGCCTTTCACTGACTCTTTGGCGTGACCTTATCGCGACCAGCCCGGCCCTCAGGTCGCCTCGCGACCTGTGTTTGGAGAACGGCAGCATGCTTTTCGCATGCGACGAGTATACATTTTTTGATACATATGAGATGATAAAATATGTTGGTGCCTGAGTTGCAAAAAGTGTCTTGCCGGCGCGGGCTCTATAAGATTTGCTCTGTTCTTGGCACACCCACCACGGCCTGGACCTTGGCCCCTGAGAGCTCGGCCCTTTTTTGGCACCCGCCTCAACTTACCCCTAATTGCTGGTTTGGATTGGTGGTTTGGGGATTGAACCCCTGGATCATGTTGAAGTTGAATGGGAAACCACCCCCTAACCTCCAAAACACCGATCCAAACTACCAATCCAAACCGGGCCGGTAGCAACCCGGGGTGCCCAGTCCAAAGAGGGCCGCCGAACACCTGCAACCACCTCCTGGCCGCGGGCCAGAATACAGCCGTCGTGGAGCAAGGAGAGCGGCGGGGCAGCGCCGAGACAAGCGCGTGACAAACTGTTTCCCGCTGGCTCGCTCCACTGGGCGAGGGCGCCAGGGGACAAGCGGCCAGCGGCCGCGTGCAACTGGGGCACGCGCAGCCGAGAGCTCGCACGCGCGTTCTTGCAGCCCGTCTGCATCACGGCTCTCGGGCTCGGAGTCGGACGCGTGCGCGGAGGTGTGTGTCTCTTTTTGTCTCTGTCTCGTCGGTGTCTTTCTCTGTCTCTCTTTGTCTGTTGGTCTCTCTGTCTCTGGTGTCTGTTTCTTTGTCTGTCTGTCTGTCTGTGTCTGTCTGTGTCTGTCTGTGTCTGTCTGTGTCTGTCTGTGTCTGTCTGTGTCTGTCTGTGTCTGTCTGTGTCTGTCTGTGTCTGTCTGTGTCTCTCTGTGTCTCTGTGTCTCTCTGTGTCTCTCTGTGTCTCTCTGTGTCTGTGTCTCTGTGTCTGTCTGTGTCTGTCTGTGTCTGTCTGTGTTTGTCTGTGTCTGTCTGTGTCTGTCTGTGTCTGTCTGTGTCTGTCTGTGTCTGTCTGTGTCTGTCT